TTCCAATCTCGTTTGACGTGCAATAGTTCGTGATCTGGCCATGTACGTAATCGTTCCAAGGCTCGTTGACGTAACAGTGTCAGGCCAGGCGCCTCACAATCGATCTCTCCTCGTACTTCTCGGATCACCAGGTTTGAGCCCCCGCAGATCACCAGAAGCTGTGGATCCAGATCTTCCAACAGATCCAGCCATAGTAGCAGACCATGGTATTCCGCTTCATTCACCGTCAAACCTTCGGCATACCCCGATCTAGCTTTCAACACTCTCCATTCGGGCAGCTTCCACAAGATCGCGCTGTAGGCGCCTCCACCTCTCTTGACACGAGCTGATCCATCGAAACTGACGACATACAGCTCCTCATCTCGTCTGATCGTGGGGAGCCTGGATCTTCCGTCTTGGCTCCTTTCTGGGGGCGATCGAGATCAACGCCTTTTCCACTTCTGATCTAGGGGTAATGCTAGCTGCCAGTGCTCCCAAGATCTCATCCTCTCCTTTGACACACTTAGTGATCTCACGTGTCCAAGGCGACAACAGAGCGGCCCATTGCCCCCAGACGTCCTTGCAAAGCCGTGGATCTGAGGAGCCATGCCAATGTTGAATGACGGGTTAACACACGGATCGGACGTCCGACCAACGTATTGTAATTGAGATCTAGGATCCTCAGGAGGGCTAGTACCTCCTTCTCCGCGATGCCGTAATTCAGTTCATTCGACTTCAGAGTACGGCTGGCAAACGTCACAGGATAGTAGATCTGGTCGTATTCCTGCATCGAGATGGCCCAATCACTAGCGTACACCACCACCGTGGCCTCCCGCTCTGGGTCAAAATGTCGTAAGATCGGGGTAGTAGCGATCATGTCTTTGAGCACGTTGAAAGATCGATGAGCATGGATCCAACGTGGATCTACCTCCTTAGGATCAGGCGCCTCCAGATCCAAGGTCCTTCGGTGACCGACGTCTCGATCTTCCTGTGATCTTGGATCTGCGGCTTCTGCTTCCAGTACTCGTTGGATCCGCCCTTGGGTAGCCTCTTTCGTCATCGCCGCAAAGTCGATTTCTCGCAATTCATACAGAACCGACGCGTAGATCGCGTAGTCTTCGATAAATCGACTATAATAGTTCAGACTTCCCAGAAATGATTGCATAGCTCTGAGTGATCTTGGGAAGGCTAGATCAGTTAATGCAGAGAAAACCTTCGGATTCGCCTCTAGTCCATTGTGCGAGACCTTATGTCCGAGGTATTCCACCTTGGGCATTCCCCAGAAACTTTTAACTACGCTGATCGACAGGTTCCATTTATCACATGCCTCGAGCAGCCCCTCGACCCGGTCACACAGCTGATCCCAACTATTAGCGGGGATTAGGATGTCATCGATATATGATCTGCGACCAAGCACCGAAGGCCTGCCTGGATCCGCCGGTTCTCCGTCCTCAAATACATCAGCCGTACTTCCGTGATCCTCGGACTTCGGGATCCGGGTGAACCCATATAG